ATTTTTATAATATATATTTTTATAAAAACAAGTATATACTTTTGGAAAGCCAAATATTGAAAATTATGAGAGGTAAACAAATAGAGTTTGTATTTTATTAACACGAGAAAAATTCTGCGATATAATGTCCAATGCAAACATACATGAAGCGTGCGCATGTGCATTTTATGCGACTGTAAAAAATTTCACGCTACGTTTCTGATTTATAATTATGAATATGAGTTAGGTTAAGCTGGGACACGTATGTACGTATTTGACAGTACACATACTTGGCAATTCGCACGCGTGCAATATGCGTGAACTTTTGAGCGTCATATGCCTTTTAACGTTGGTGTGACAAGGAGAGCACGACGGTTCGCAGAACAGAGAGTGGGGAACCTGCGCGCGCAGGTGGCGCGATGTCGGTACGTCAACACTCGGCGTGTCTCACTGGTCGGCGTAGTCTCGCCCGGGGAGCGCGAGAGAGAGGAGTTAATGGCCGACTGAACGCGGCAGAGCGAAACAGCACAGAGCGCGAAAGAAACCGGCTGAATCACGGTAGTGGATTGAAGAACGCGGAGTACGAACTTATTTCGTGACATTCTCTGTCGCCGGTAAAAATCTAAAGTTAAATATAATATATCAAAACTTATCGAATATACATTACTGTCTTTAATAATTGAAAGAAGTAAGAAATATAAAGAGAAAGTTCTCGCGCTTTGGGAGTTTTATAATCCGTTTTGAAGTAAGGCGCGGAGTAATATTAAACTACCTGTCTAAATTATTAGCAAAAATTGAAGATCGACAAAACTTTGAAGCAGGTATTGAAATTGATATATTATCTAGATATATATGAATATCGCAGAGATGTAACAATGAATTTTTACGCTTGTATTTATAATGAGGTCTTTTTCTGCTTAGCTGAAGTATAGGAAATTAAGTTTATGGATGTTATATCGATTTTAATTCTTGCTTTGAAAACGTTCGAACGTCATCTTATTTTCGACATAATTTTTGCAAATAAAATATTTAATTTTTGCGTTAAAGATTACGCTGAAGCCCCTGGACGCATCACATGATAATCCGCCACTGCCGAATCGACATAGCGAGCAAGAAAGATAGGGAAAAGAGGGAGAAGGACAGATATATCTCGTGAGACCCGCGAAGGTGGCTGCATACGGGGCGGGCCGGTCAGTCTCGCCACTTTGCGGAATATTTTTCTTGCCGCGCTGTAACCGTAAAAAAGAGAGTGAGTGACAGAAAGAGCAGAGACAAGCTTTGCCGGGAAAATATAGAGCGAACGAGAGAGAAAAAGAATGGGTTTTCGGACTTTGCAGCTTCGCGAATACTTATGTAGAGCGAAAGCTACTTGACCGCGTGGTCTTGCGAGGTTCCAGCAGTGACCATCTCGTCCGACAGTGGTGTGTATTGTTATTGTTGTTGATCGATATTCACAAGAGGAAGAGAGACAGAAGAAAGAGAGAGAGAGAGAGGGAGGAAGCCGGCAAGAGGGCAAGCGAGAGACGGTGAGAAGAAACTCGTGATACCGAGAGGTTGGCAACGGTGGTGGCGGCTGCTGCTGCATACTGGGTGGTGGTGGTGCGCCCTGACACAGTGGTGGAACGAAGGCAGGAAGGACACGACCGTGAGAAGAAAGAGGGTTGTTATGGGACGAGATTCCCGTGGCGTGTTGCTGCTTGTCGCGCTGGCCGCGCTGGCAGCCGCGGATGCCTTCTCAATTGACAGTAAGTCCAAATTCATATTCGATCGCTAAATATTTTCCGAACAACGATGACGCGCGCGGGGGTGAATGAGAGGGCTAGAGGGAGGGGGGGGAGGAGTGGCGGGTAAGCTGGTCCTGTACACCCAGCTTCACTGGTCCTTTGCAGAAATCCGCTACCCGTCATCTCTCTCTCGTATTTCTCATCGATATTTTTTTTCTTTTCTTTTCTTTTTTTTCATATTGTGACATTCTTTGGCGAATCTTTTCAGTTATGATTTTCTTCACGTTTGTTCTTGCTGTCCTCTCTTTTTCAATATGTGCCGACAAAAAACTGATCTTTGTCGAAGTTGACGATTATTATGCAAATTTTAAGACCGATGCCATTGACATTTTCTCAGAAGCGCATATTTATCCTGCGTTATCGCGAAGATGTAATTGGTTTATTTACGATCGTTGTCGAGAATGTGCCGCTACAATTAACTGTCAACGTCATTCATCTATCTCTTATTGTTTAATTCTTGTGCGAAACAGGTGCGTTTAAAACGCAAATAGTACTATATAATCATATTATACATCGAAGGAGACAATTTCCTGAAGACGTGAAGTTTCTAAAAAGTACACCTTCAAGGACGCAGAAGAGGGTTTCATGGCGGCCGTTCTCACCCTCTGAGTTTATCTCCGAAATTTTCCCTCTCATCGAGAATGCATCGTGTCTGATAATACGTTCACTGTGTAAGCAGTGAAAATTTTGAGAAATTACGCTATATTTATTACATGCATACATGCATGTGCCTAATATTATTATGCATATATCATATTTGCATTTAAAATTAATGATGTAAAAACTGATCTTTGTCGAAGTTGACGATTATTATGCAAATTTTAAGACCGATGCCATTGACATTTTCTCAGAAGCGCATATTTATCCTGCGTTATCGCGAAGATGTAATTGGTTTATTTACGATCGTTGTCGAGAATGTGCCGCTACAATTAACTGTCAACGTCATTCATCTATCTCTTATTGTTTAATTCTTGTGCGAAACAGGTGCGTTTAAAACGCAAATAGTACTATATAATCATATTATACATCGAAGGAGACAATTTCCTGAAGACGTGAAGTTTCTAAAAAGTACACCTTCAAGGACGCAGAAGAGGGTTTCATGGCGGCCGTTCTCACCCTCTGAGTTTATCTCCGAAATTTTCCCTCTCATCGAGAATGCATCGTGTCTGATAATACGTTCACTGTGTAAGCAGTGAAAATTTTGAGAAATTACGCTATATTTATACACATGCATGTGCCTAATATTATTATGCATATATCATATTTGCATTTAAAATTAATGATGTTCAGGAATTAGATATTTGAACTATCTTTAAAATATAATTGGCTTTTACATTGTACGGGCAAATATACGAGCGTGCGAAACATGTCGAGATCTTCACGTGTACTCGTCCTGTCACGACGACTCGCTCGCAGCATCCCTCTCTGGATCGCGAACCTCGCAACGCGAAGATGTATATTATATAAGTAGACGCGCAACATATCGTCCCTCGTTTTGTCAATGGTCGCGTATATTCGCTGCTTTTCATTATCTCCACGTACATTTCTATCTCGCCGAGATGGGCTGTATAATGTACACAGACCGGGATATTAACGCTGTTAAACGAAAATGGAGAGAGAAAGTGACGGCTAGTTATTTAATATCATTTTATGACTTCTACGTTAAGGAATTTCACAAAACACGTTATACTATCGCTAAATAGTGAGTAAACAAAATCAACAAAAAATTCTCTGTCAGAGACGGAACAATTTTAGTTTTTATTTCTCGTATACACAATGTGTAAATAAAAGATTATCTTGCTATAGATGTTTTCTAGTTTGATATATAAATTGTTTTATGGTATAATTTATCTCCATTTTTCGATTTAATCGTATTTTCAGCTTTTTTGAAACTCAACGTAGCAGAATTTCATTGAGCATTCGTATTTTGATTTATTAAATACATTACATATACATCGATTAATGATGTAAATGCAGATCGAAAAATTGAGATTTAAATAGAATATTTCAGGTCACTTAAATAAAATCTTAAAAAGAAAAGAAGAGGGGAAAAATCCTTCCTTCCAAGTGTCTTTATCTCGTACAATTATGCATTGTTTCATACATATTCAGAGGATTTAAATTGGGAAAATCTGAAAGACTGAATGACTGATTTACTCTGTTAAATACATCTTTAATTAGATTTCAAGAATCCGAAATCTCAATTTGTGTTATGAAAATGAGTAATGCTTACACACGAAATAAGGAGATAATGTTTTGTTTACATTCTGCGTGTGTTAAACAGAGACATGAGTATTTGTTGCCAAAAGCGAAAATTCTTTCTAATTTTAAACGAAGCCAAATTTGAGATTTACGTCGATTGAGATTTCCGGTTCGTCATTTAAACTTTGGAAATTGTTGGAGCGGAGATAAAGAGTGATTTCGAACAAGAAAATTTATCAAAATTATGCTGCTTCCTTGCTTGCGTTACGTGAAAGTTTGTTTTGATTATATTTGTTTCATCACAGGCACACGAGATAAACTACCGTGGGGGATTTAGAGCGTTCGTCAAATATGTACGTTTTAGTACGCCTGGCAGAGAGAGAATCGAGATGCGTATTCGTTAGGCGCGAGTATGCAAGTGCAATTAACGTAATGATTCTTCCGACGAATCCAAGCACCACGCCAAGCTGTGAGATAGAACTCGTTGTGTGATCAGACGATTTATTTTGCCGGTTCTCTGCGTCTTTCTACATCCGATTCCGACTTTTGCACTAGCGCCTATTAGCATCGCACGATAATTTTACCGAGGAATTCACGAGGCGGTGGAAATAGCCGCGGCGCACGTCCGCGTGATAAATCCGCATTGACAATTCCCGACGGGGGTTGTCAAGCTGTTTAGCGAATCGACGCGCAAACCGTACATGAATTTACAGAAACTTCGATCAGAGATCGTGTGTATTTAGTTTAGATTACGTTAACTGCCTCGCGTATATGCTATATATTTTACATCAATTCTCGCCGGCATTGCCGCAAGCTAATATCTTTAGTAGGAGATTTCTATCATATGTAGCGATCGTTGAGTAAATATTTTTTAAGACAATTGTTTAAGAATAAAATCATATTACCCTGCTAAAAAAAAAAAAAAAATGTTTTTTTATCATCTTTTTATAAAGAGATATGATCCAAGTTATATATAAAAATATCAAGAAAGAGTAAAATCGCTAGGCATGAAGCAAACGTAAAATTGTCAATTGCAATAAGACAATAACATTTGTTATTTTGTATAAAATCCGTAATATGTTATGTGATAATATATGAATTCAATAACAATATTGTATATATTTGCAGAGATGAAAATTGCTGTGGTTTTTTTATTCATTTTTTTGCTCAATTGTCTGTGTATATAAAGTATCTCTCTCTATTATTGCCAACAAGAATTGCGAGGTAACCTTCAGTCAATTAACATAAATGAGCTATGAGATTACATTTGATTTTGTCATTATTACACTTAAACGATTCTCATATCTCGTAGTCGGGTCTCTTTTAAAATAACGGATCATTCTAAATATAACCGGCTACAAATCTTGGCGTTCTCATTCAATTTATTTATTTATGTGACGTATAAATTTATAAAGCCCGCGACATATAAAAAGAACAGTAGAACTTGAGCAGTAATCGAAAATCGACTGATCATTAATATCGGCTATTCTCGGTAACGTGAGACCGCAATTTTAAAACTTAATATGTAAGCTACATATTAAAAATTGATCGATCTGCTTGTTGTGCTTAAGCATTACACTTTACATTTTTTGTGTTATTTTATGATTTGATGACCACTTGTTGAAATTTTCTCAATGAACTTTTTTTGATTCTCAGGTAAACTAGCCTGTCCTTTGAGACAATTTCGATGCGCCAATGGCAGATGCATTCCAATTTCGTGGGTCTGCGATAAAGCGGACGACTGTACCGACAATTCCGACGAAAGCCCGGAGGAGTGCAAATGTAAGTCATGTGCAAAATTATGCGAAAATTATACGATCAAATTATAGATACAAAACGGCAATAACGTCGAAACGGTCCATATGATCAAGCGTAAATTTGCGCAATCCTTTGACGCGTCAAATTCGCATATGAGAGTTGAAACACCAAACATCATTTTACATGACAAATATTGGCATTGCGTAAACGAATGGAGCATTGGTCATTTTGGCGTGAGGATTTTGTAAATTTCTATCATTTTCACCATTCATAATAACATATTTTTTCTAATTGATTTTACGTAGTGATTTAAAATGAACAGAAATTTTATAGTTTCACCGAAATACTTCGCAAAATTATAGAGGTAATAATCATCATTTCGAAATATGGAATCTGGTGATCAGATAAAATAGAGATACGTTCATTCATTTTTCGAATTTTTTTTTTGAGAGGAAATGTTTTGTGACAAAAATTGTACAATGCCACGGAGTTATGCGGAACGCACTTTGCTCGGCGGGTCATTAAATATTTATGAGTCGTATTTCTTTACAACTGTGTAGTCATGATAGTCAATAACGACGGAAATATTATTGAATGCGCAATTGCATGCGTGTGATAATACGAATGAATGTGATAAGACATTCCGGAAATATTTCGCGTTATATATTACCGCGAAAGTGTGCGATCGCAAATATATTTGCCTCCGATGCACGCGTGCGCGCGTTAATTAAATGAAGTGATCTGTTGACAAGCAAGCCATCAGCGTGTTTGTTCGCGCATTCTTGTGTCGTTTTATCGATTCCGAATAGAATTCAACGCGAGAGAAACCTAATTTTCGCAGCTGCGATTTAAAACAATCGTCTTAGCCAATCTCGATTCGATCGATCGCACACTTCGGGATTTGTTTACGAGACT